GTGAGTCACTTGGTCCGCACTTCACATTACAAATTTACTAAATTACAAAATTACAATTGAATTATGCCAAATGCTTCGGGCAGACACTCAGGCGCACTCGCTAAAAAACTTGCTTGGCTTATCAAAAGGCATCTCCGGCTTACTGACTCGTATCTAACTTGTTTTTGCGCGGCCAAAACTTGGACCGCCTTGTTGGCACCTACGGTCTTAAGAGCCAGCTCCCATTTATACAAGATTGCGGCACTAAAAAGTGCATCCAAGTGCCATTTCGATTGTCTCGAATCTGAGTTTCTTCTGTGTGTGTGTCAGACAGGCAGGCGGGCGTAGGCGTTCCGCCGTGCTCCAGTGAACTGACTCTATTGATTTGGCCGGTCATACACGATTGGGCAGCGAGAGTTCCACGTAAGTCAGCTGACACACCAAGGATTACGTGTTGTTTCCTTAAAGGACTCCCTCAAAGCGGACTTCAAGCACTCAACCATTCATAACTACTGCAAAAGTTATGCAGTTTTCGTTGTTTACTCAGTGTAACCCAGTGAAGCGTTCGATCGTTATTCAATTGAGCATTCGCACAAAATTAAACATTGGACTACCCCAGTGCAAACGCGCCCTCGCAGTTGCATTACCCACCGTCAACTCCCCCACAGAGGGATCGGCCTGCATGTTCCACTCGCCCCCTTATGCAAGCACAGTCCATTGCACACATATCGACAATGACAAGTACATGGGCATAATAAAGTCTTGGAATTTATTTTTATGTGCATATAATAGAGGGCAGCTGACCCATCCGTCCACCCCCTCGCACAGAGCCCAGAGCCCAGCGCCCAGCGCCCGAACGCCCAATCATGCAGGCCGCCCCCAAGAGACGCATTTCATCTAAAAATACGGAAAATGCTATTTGCCTGAAAATACCGAGGCCCGAGAGGCGGGCGAATGCGTAGAGCAACAACAATAACAGTTACAAGGCAAAATACACAGACGAAGCCAGCCCAGGGATCAGAAAGCAGGACCATGACCATGACGTGCACTGACTTACATCGTGTCCAATGCATTGCCCGAAATCTGTCTGACAAAATGTCTGCAGCGAATTTTCGAATTTTGCCAATATTTGTGTAGTCATTCGGAGATTATCCTAATTGAGAATCTCGGCGTGAAGCAGGGGTTTCCCGAGCCCTTAACGTTGGCTACGCTTGATGGTCCACGGGTTTATGGCCATCGATGCGACAGGTCAAATAAAGAGATACAGGTCCATCAGGCAAGGGGACTTGCCCGAAGGCGGAAGCATGAAATTGTCACAATTAAAGCGAAATATTTTGTGTAAAGCTAAAAGTATAGCCAGATATGCTATGGCAAGTGGAAGAAACTAGAACAGAAACAGGAAAGTAAATCCATTTCGTATCTCTGAGCCCAATTCCTGGAAGCGCACAGCAAATGAAGAACAAACAAAGCAAGATTTGCCAACTTTGCGGCGCTTGGCTTATCAATGGGTCCATCCGTTCGTTGTGTCACAATTCATTACAGACTCAAGCGTCTAAGGACAACAGCATCTACAATATATACTTTTCGTTTTAGATTTCGTGACAAATGTACAAAAATGGCGAAGCCATCAACTTACCCCCGACTGCAAAATTACCAAAAGCAAAATATTTGCACAGACCTAGGCCTAGGCCGCCTCAGCTTGGCCAAATGAAGCTGACCTGGCTGCCTAGCTGGTTGACTGACTGCAGGAAGCAGGCTGGCGGAGCCAAAAAGGATTACTTATCGCATATTTTGACATAAGTTAAGTTCATCACTGAAATACGAGAGTCAATTGTCCAATGTCTGATTCGGTTGGGGGTGATGGACAGCCAGTTGCTCGTGTGATGGGTGAATTGTGATAAGCCGAACGTCCGTCAGGGCGGCCAGGACGAGGACAGCCAGGCCTGGGGTGGAGTGCCCACCATCGATTGCTCCTTTGTTTATAGGCCTTCTACGCCTTGTTTATTTGCATTCGCCTGTTTGTATTTGCACTGAAATCGAGGCAGCGACTGGACGACGGCTCCGGCCTGCAGACCAATTGACAGCTTAGGGCGGCGGCAATCGGGCTTGCAAAACAATTGATGGATATTGTGGACATGTGTACGGAACTTGGCTTTGATTTGTCGTACTTATTTAAAATGCGAGTGCTAATAATGCTTTATTATGGCCCGAAAAAGGGACAAAGGCAAGGAATTTAATTCCAGTTTAAATGTAGTTTTATTTTTGGGTCTCCCCTGACGGACTTTGCTCGTTTGCGTGGGCCGTAAAAGGGTTCTAAGTCGCTTGGATTCTTTTAATACTTTCCCCAACTTTTGATTGCGTAAAAAGCTTTTCCTTATTTCGGCTAAGGCAACAGAAAATAGAAAACAGAAAACAATTACCTATGCTTTTTCCCCGTGCACTACTCACACGCTGCCCAGATTTCTCTTTAAATTCAAGCTAGTCCTGTGATGTTCGACACCCTCTCTTGAAGACGGCGTACTCAGCTCTATGCATACATAAATGTATGCCTCATAGCTGAAGCTATTGAAGCTGGGACATGTTCTGTGGTGGGCGTGCACCCACATGCTGACAGTGTTGAAGCTGTGCTGCGTCTCTCATTCAACTGGAATCTCTATTCGAATAGCGAGCGCTAGACCTGTAGATACCCCCTTACACAGCGCCTCCTGAGAATATTGCAATCAGAATGCAGATACAAAACCTACTCACAATTAAATGTGTCTCCCAAATGTGGCAAGCCCTGTACTGCATGCAATATACCCGCTTTGCATTTCTCAGAGTGAGTGTAGGGTATAATAAACACAACAGAACAACAAAGACAGCCACGGACTGGGGTCCAGACGGCAACTTGGTATTGAGACTGCTCTGACTACTCATCCACAGCCGCGCCTGGTTGTAAAGATATAAAATCAGACAACTGCAACAACAAGCAACAAGAGCAGCTAGGACAGTACAGGAAAGGACAGGACAGGAAAGGACAGGACAGGGCAGGCCAGGCTGGGCCAGGACACTGTTGTGCCCGTCTAGTGGCCGACGTCTGGCTTCTTGTGGCTCCTCTGCGCTCTGTCAGCTGCAGCGGCGATTTGTAGCGCCACAAGGATAATCACACTTTTAATCGTGATTTAAGTTTATGGCGCTGGGCGCTCGTTTAGTTTCTAGCCAACTCGACGCGTTGCTTGCGAGGATTTTCAATTTTTTCCATGGCTTCATCAGCATCAGCGCCAGCATCGAGCGCCTTGTTAGCTGCCGCTTTCATTTTTATATATTTTTTAATGATTTTTATTGCATAACAGGCGGCGTGTTTGCCCGTCTTCCATTGTCCTGGGCGGCAATTGCACTTTGCCACATTTTATAGTTGCCCCAGCAGCCCCCAGTGATTTGTGGATAGTGCAGCCAGCCAGCCAGCTAGGCAGCTTTAGTCTGGCTTCTGAGCACGAGATTTTCAGCTTAAGATTACATGTAAGAATACTTCAGCTTTAGTCGAGAGCCCCTACACATTTGTGTGTGTCTGTCTGTGTGGGTAAATATTTACAAGATTGCATCAGTCAAAGTTGAAATTCAATCAAATTAAGTAGTTAGTTCAACTGTTACATGCTCAGCGTGCTCTCCATTGCAATGCTCGCTCATAATGGAACAACAATGCTGCGCAGCCACATAAATCTTGGCCACAATTTGCCACACCTTTGGCCAGGCGGCTTACTCCGTAATTTGCAGCTGCTTTCTTCCCGCTAAGCAAACTCGCATTCTCCTCGAGCGGCGACTGAGAGTGTGTCCCATCCGCTCTGCTCCGCTCAACAAATTATGAGCTCTAACATTAATTTCACGTCGGGTGCCAAGTTTGCCAGCCGGAGAGAGGCTGAGGCTGGCTGGGGCTGAGCTGTGAGCACATTTTTGTGCTGTAATTAGAAGGCAGTCGCAAGTCAAGGAGAAGCTAGTGGCCAACTTGAGCATTGAGAGGAGTCGGCTGCAGATCGGTGGCGAGGGCGTGGGTGACGGCGTGGGTGAGGGCGGGGGGATTGGCCACTTGAAATGCAAATTGCGTGCAAATTATGGAAAACTGCCAGCCAAGCAGGCAGGTGAGCAAGTTTTTTGATTTGTTGTGCCAGCCGAGGTAGGAATTATGCAGCAGCGGAAATATTACTTAAGGCTCGAAAGTTGTGTTTTTAATTGCTCGAGTTGCTTTCCAATTTGCGATGCACCTCAGTAGAGTGCAGCCCGGCGAGTCCTAATCAAATTAAGTCAAAAGCTTAAAGCGAATTCTTTATATGGCGGAAGTAAAAGCTATCGATGTGTCGGCTGAAGACTAAGACGACTGATCTGTGGATGTCTATAGTCTATATGGATACATCGAATTCCATATTCAAAAACTCTTAACGAAATTTATCCCATGTGCCGATGATGACATTAGGCGTTAAAGTAAAAATATTATGAATTTATGTTGGTCAGACCATAAGCAGATAAACACCATAGATAGGAGATAAAATATACCCTGAACCCATTGAAAATGGGAAAGTATATACATATGTATATTGTTAATCAGGGCGACGAGCTGAGTCATACAGCCATGTCCGTATATTCGTCCATATGAACTTAGACATCTCGTAAGCCATTGACTAAAGAATGTAAAGAATGTTTTCTAACTGTACGAGTTTATCATACTTTTTCGATAACTAACCCCATTTAATTTTAATCGATAGTAGATTTAGTATTGAAAGAACTGTAGATTACACATGTAATGTGTAGATTCATAAAAATAAATTTGAGGTGATATTATTATTATTATACTATTGTACTCGCGCAAATCTTACTTAGCTCAGTTTAAATATTCAAATAAAAAGCGAATTCATTTCGAAAGTCCGGGAGTATTTCATTAGATAAAAAATGAATGAAAATATATCTTATAAATTCGAATCTCTTCATTCTTGTAGCACTTTCATTTCCAATTGTATTGTATGCTAAATACTTTATATACGCTTTAGGGATAATTCTTCGTTATACTACTTACCGTTATTATGAGTTAGAAACGCGTTATCTGCCTCAGATGATGATGATCCCTGTTGCTCGTTGTTGGCGTTCGATGAGGACGACGAGTTGGAGAAGTCATACGGATGACTCAAGCTGTTATTGCCGCTAACAGCAGCAGAGGCAGCCAGCGCCTTAAAGAGGTGTGCGGTGCGCTGTGGTTGTTGTTGTTGTTGCTGCTGTTGTTGTTGCTGTTGTTGTGGATTGTAGGGATTGTTGTATATGTTGCGTGTGTCAGTCGCTGGCTGCAGCTGCTGCTGCTGTTGCTGTTGCTGCTGTTGCTGTTGCAAGCTGTACTGTTGCTGCTGAAGCGTGTTATTAGCACTCAAGCCGTTCACCGTGAAATGTCGTGATTTTCCTGTAAGACGAGAGAGACAGAGAGAGAGCGAGAGGGAAAGATTAGAAAAAGGTGCGTCAAAAGCGGGCAGATATATTTATCTGTTCAAATATAAAAACGAACTCTGTCGAAAAGTTTTAACAAAAAATTCAACTTTTTCGCCATGTCACGACAGTTGGCCCAGCCCCAACTCAGCCCCCTCTCGAAGGCGCCGCCCCTCACCAACCTCCCACAAACACGCTTAATTGCACGCATTGAAATATGTAAATGCCCAAAGAGGATGGAAGCGGGGGGAAGGGATTGCGCGGGTAGCGAGGAGGGCGAGTGGGTGTGAAGCTCCAATTAAACCATTTTCAGTGGCATTCAAGAGGTTTGAGGTTATGTTTTTGCTTCGTTTGCTTTGCCACCTATTGTTGCGTTTCACATATGAATTATGCATGGCAATAATAACAACAACAACAACAAAGCCTTCTCTGTATCTGTGTGTGTGTGTGTGTCTGTGTAGTTGTTGCTGTTTGCGGAAATGATGTTGACGCGGAAGCTGTAATAATGAAGCAGCAGCAGAGCTGCAAAATGTCGTCTAACGATGCGCCCCGCACACCCCCGCAATGTATGCTAACCCTTTCAATTTTCCAGCTCGGCCAAAAACTTTTGCCTCCCCCTGCTCCAGCTCCTGCCCCTGCCTCTGTTGCTGCTGTTGCTGCTGCTGTTTTTTGCTTCTTTTGCATATTAATTATGCATGTGTTGTTGGTGTGAAGGCATCAACACATTGTTTGAATTTTAAGCAACAAGCAGCAACACTCTGGGCCCAGCTACAGCCCGCTTTCTCCGCGCCTGTCAGTGCTCATTTTATGCTCTGTAAAGCGTGGCGAATGCCACGAGGCGGCTATGATGCCAAGTCTAAACTGAATCGATTGTCAGACCAAGCAGACACTGAGCTTTTACCTAAAATCAATTCCATATACCCAATCAACGGTGATGACTTTCTCTGTGTTCTGGTTGCAGGGTATCTCCAAGTCAGCACGAGCTGCTTCCACTGGTTAGCTGATGTGGCGCCGCTATGCAGCAGCCAGCTGCATAAATATGAAGTGCGGCAGATAACGAGCTAATAACTCACTTAATTTCTGTGAGCCGTTGTCCATGCGGAGCAGGGGCAAAGAAATACATGTCGACGAAAGCTGAAAGACAATGGCTCAAACAATGCTCGATTCGATGTCCCTTTGCCGGCCAATTAGTCGGCTAAGTACATAATCACGTTAATTGCATCAATTTGAATATTATATATAAAAAGGCATTTCAAGCACTGCAGCTAATTTATGGCCATCAAGTGTGTGTGTAATTAGCTGAAAATTAAAATTTTCGGGGCGTCATTAAATCCCGTGCGTGTGTGAAACTAAATTGTTTTATGGCTTTATTTAAATGGCCAATGGGAATTTGTGCGGTCAATCGAATCGATCAACCGATGACCCTTTCATATGCGTGCTGTCCTCAAATAGCGCTATATAATTAACAATTTTCAATCCATTATTAACTATACTTATTTATTCATATAGAAATTTTTTTTTTTTTTTTTTTTTTTTTACGTATTGAGTATATAAATCTATTTAAAAATCAGCCTGAAGTCAGAGAAACTTCTGTTTTGGGGCTGAAAGCTTGTTAATTGTTAATTGGCAGCACTTTAAGCATCGATTGTTAATTGCTAGGCCTCATTGCATTCGACTCGAAGTGAAAAGTTTCAAGTACTTTCGTCTGGCAAAAGTTTCCAGCGGAAAACAATAGAACAATGACAGTACAAGCTTACGCTGGGAAAATATCTATATATATATGTGTATATATATAATTAAGAGGCCAATGCAATTAGCCTGAAGGTATTCACCAAAGTCTCACTGCTCTCAAGCTACTCCCACACAGTTCGTGGCTTCAGGTCTGTTAGCCAATCTATTCGAAATGTCCCTTAAAGGGAAGCATACATATATAATGCTGAAATTTGTGTAAACTTCAATCCGCCCTCGTGGCTCTGTTTACTGCGTCAATTCGAGGCTATTTTTGTATATTTTGCTTTTAACAAAATTTGCCAAATTTACACTTCACTAACATCCATACACATACACACACACACACACACACACACACACACACACACACACAAGCGATAACAACAAGCATTTGAAAGCATAACAATAGGCAAGTGTGATTCATTTTTGGTTTTGGCCGTGTGTTGGGGGTTTCAGTCGGAAAGTCAAAAAATAAATAAGGCAACATTCAATGCAAATTGGACTATTTACGCAAATTTTATTGCCAAGCACTTTTCTATTTATTTCCTTGTTGTGTTGTTATTTTTCTTTTCTTTTCTTTTCGTTTCTTACTGTTGCTAGTTTGCCCAACCGCCACATGTGGCCGAGTACACATAAATACATATTTATATATGTATGTGTGTGCATGTGTGTGTGTGGGCATCCTTGGAGCATACTTTATTTCCTTGACGCTGAGCTACGAAATCGTTAGCCCCCAGCGACTAGTAAATCAGGCAATTTGAAATGCGCTTCCTCGACTCTCATTTGTTTTTTTTTTTTTTATATATATATTTTGTTATTGTTGCTTTTGTTGATGTCGTCGTCGTTGTTGTTGTTGTCGCTAACCCTTAGCTAACCTTTTGGGGTTACTCGTGGCTCGTCTGCTGCACAAATTATGCGATTTGATGTCATTATTCTGTCGCCAAACGACGCGCGCCTCACTGGGCAATTGGCAGAGTTTTATGCTCGCTTTTTGGCCCGATTTCCTCGACTGCTCGGCCTACACATAAAAAGCGTTTGCCGAACAAAATGTGTTCTTTATTGACATTTGGAGGCGTCGCCGTTTTGCGCGTCGACTCAACGAGTTGAAGCGTGGCCTGAGGCTCTGTCAGAAAGCTTCATCTCGTTTCGGTGGGGGCTTACCAATAAATTTGTTCTAGTGAAAATTTATTGACATTGGTTTTTAAACCGCGACGCGTGTTGCCAAACGATTTTATGGCCTCTGATGTGTCGGTCGCTGACATTGAGCCCCGGCGTAACTGACCTTTAAGCATCCAAAATACTTGGCTTCAAAAAGTCGATATCGCAAATTGAGCATATCAAATGTTACCAAGGCCTACAACGATACCAATAGGCGTTAATGCCGAGAATTGAATAGAGCACGAAACACGTTCTATCAGCCTGAAGCCATTCAATCAGCGCAGCGTTATACCCAGCTCACATTGACAGGAACAAATTCCGGTTACGATGGCTATGCCTAAACTATGAGAAGGAGCAGGAGGCTTCAAATAAGATGAAAATATATACAATATTATATGTTGATCAGTTATATGAATTGATTGAACTTTATGTTCGACTTGATTGCTTAATAATTTCTATAAAGCTATCAGGACAGGGACAGGAAGTTGTGTTGAGTATAGTAAATATACATGTAACAATTATTATGTAAGTAATTGTGTATATCTTAAAATGAATAGGTTGTTTATTAAGTTAAACGTATTACTGAGAACCGTGAAGAGCTTCAAGACACTGTGATTACTTGAGCTTCTATTAATCATCGGCATTTCTCTTCTTCTTGAACTGGTGTTGCCAACCTGTTGAGTTTGAGATTGACTTATCATGCAAATTTACAATTATATTAATAATTTCATATTCAAAACAAATAAATAAATTAAAGTAAGAAAGAAACCCAAGAAAATAATAAATTCATTTTGATAGACTCATATAGGTTTTTATCGATCTGATGAAGAACCAAAACGATCAAATGATGACTCTTTCACTACTTAGTTATAAAATGAATAAATGGAAATTAAATTCGATTGTAAAAAATTTTAAAATAAACTGATTAAACGAAAAAAAATTGTTGTGTTTTTCTAGCTTTCGTTTAGTTGTGCTGCCTTTTCTATAATTCAATATAATTTTGTATATTATCTGTAAAAGGATGTGTAAAATAATAATAATAATTATAATAATCGGCAATTCGTTTATAATGTAAAATAATGTGTTGTGGCAACTTTAATCAATTTTGAAATATTTCTGTATATCCTTATACTTGTTGCATTATAGTCGTACTTGAAGAATTGAAATGATTAACAAATTAGATCGAATAAGAACATAATGAGTACTGAATAGCTTTTAAGGAACTATCTGACATCACCCTAAGAAAATGATATCTAACATATATTTAAAAAAAATTACTAAATTAAATGACATCCGCATTGTCAACATACAAAAATACATTAACATACGCCACTTTCTGATCTATGCAATTTCACATAGACTCGGCTTTCACCCGTTTGAGTGATTTGAATGCCAATATTTCGTAACATATGTTCAAGAGCAGTGAGAGAGAGAGAGAGAGAGAGAGAGAGAGAGAGAGGGAGAGATGCAGTAACATTATGTCCCGTAGGGCTCAATACCCACAAAAGCCACCGCGGATACACCAGCAGCAGGAGCAGGCCGACATAATGAGTTACTTATGACACAAAGGAGACCGCGGATGCGCTGCCAGAAGGACACTGTCGATGCTTATCGGCGCGTTATCTGCTCCTGCTCCTGCTCCTGCTGCCTCTGAGGGCATTGCATGTGCTCAGCAAACCGCGAAATGGAATCGAATCCATAGATCAAGCGGGCAGCGAGAGAAAAAAAAAAAACAAAAATGAGAGCAGAAGAGTCGAGTGAATCGACTTGCATTGATAAATTAAAAGCAGCCCAAATGTTTGCTATTGCTTTGACATGTTTGACAACAATGCGACCGAGGCACGGCAACTGTGCGGGGGTTGGGAGAGTCAGACGTGGAAAGCCGACAGCGGAAGGCCGAAAGCGGGAAGTGGAAAGTGGAAAGTGGAAAGCGGAGCGCGACTTAAGCCGCTGACAAATGCGATTGCCTATTGAAATTGAAAAACCAGAACGAAACATAACACAACCCTTGAGGGTTGCCCCGGCTGGCTCAGCCCGCTTGGCATTTGCATTGATTTCAATTAATTTGCTTGTTGTTCTATCGCCGGC